GCTTCCTATCAGCTTTTAAATATAATGCATCAATAAAAGATCTTACACAAATTGTGAAACATTTTCTGGGGCTTGGACTATAAATCAGCTTCTGCAACAATATAGAAAAATCATCAGAAATGTGTACTTGGGTCTGTGTGAATATCTCCATATCTTTTAGGTGGAAGTAAGGGCCAAATCTTATGTTGACTAACAGTGAAAGCAGATTGTATATTTTGTTTGGTTTATTTCATGCTTCAAATCTGCTTAACAGAGACAGGTTTTGCATGTGTGTGCAAGAGATGGATTCACAGGGGGAATTGCCAGTTGGATGCACAGCCCTCTTTCTTCCCATCCAAATCCCAGCTGTATGTCAAATGGATTTAGGAGGGATAAGAAATGGGAAGTTATTTTCCTCTCAAGAGGAGGACCAGGTGCCTTTAGTTAAAAATGGGTTACAGGCAGTGGCAATGGGACAAACCAGTGAAGTCCAGCCACATCGTGGGCTGTTCACTGGTGTTGCAAGATGTTATTCTTGAGCAGTGTGGCATTGGGTCAGCAAGGAAGTGTGGAGCCAATGCTGGTGCTGTGTTCCTAGACCCTTTGGTGCACGGAGCTGATGGTCCAGACAGTGCAACAGAGCAAGGAGGGGCTCCAGTTCCATCATGAAGGGCTGATACAGGCCAGGCATGATTCTCTCTGCTGAATGGGGCCTTCAGGTAGACTTGATCCTTGTACCCCCTGGGGAAATGCTGAGCAGGAGACCTTCTGACTTTTCTTCCAAGCAAGCCTTCATAGCAAAGGGCAATAGCTGCTGCCCAGACAGCTTTCTTTCAAAAACGAAAAGCACGGTATGGAAAGTCTTAGATGGGATTTACTTCCCTGCAGCACTGCTAAATCATGTCTGAGGTGGGATCAACATTCTCATCTGATACCAAACTTGGCATTGGGAATGGGACCATGCCATCAAAGCACTGGAGCAAACAAGAACTTCTCTGTGCTGCGATTGCACAACCAGCACTCAGTTGGAAGAGCAAGGCCAGGCAGAGCTTCAGCATGACCTCTGCCTGACTCATATTTTTTCCTGCTGTTACCAATAAGAACTTTTTCCTCATGAGTCACTTTAAAACAGTGTGTGTGTGTTCAGGGGAAAAACAAAACCCAAAGATTTTCCTGAGGAAGAGTTTGTTGGTGAGACAGAACAAATCACTGGATACAGTCAGGGGCTGTTCTGCCTGCACAGTTGAGGTAATTAACTCTTAGGGCTTTAAGTGAATGCTTATTTTACTGTCATTTATATATGTCCCTCTTTAATGCATTTTTCTCTGAAGCACATCAGCAAAAGGACCAAGTGTTACTATCCCACTTTTTGGATGTGTGTCTGAAGCTGAGAGAAACAAGGACGCCTTCAAAAATTTGCCAGTTTAGCTGTTGTCCATCCTAACACAGGCCTAGCATACGCTGGCAACACAGTGCTTTTTCTGTTCTACTTTTCTCTCAGGTAACATAAACAGAAGTATATTTATAGTATTGTAGCTGTGGCTTCCAGGAGGTCTGAAATACTGGGCTTTCCACCTCCACCGTGACTGCATTGCAGTGGCAAATTTGACCTGTGTGACTTGCTTGTGGCTGCACAAGAGGTCAATGGCTGGGGCAGGGAATTCAAGTCCCTGAAATCACAGACTAGCACTTTAACTCTGAGAGCTGAATAGCTACAGTTTCTGAGAAGTTCAGTTCTCTGCAGGGAGTAGACATTAAGGTGTCCGTGATATGCTTCTTTCAGAAGTTTGTATCCTGATGGCAGCAGTGATTTATTTTGTTTCGTCTTTAGCTGCGAAAAGGTTATTTCTGGTTAAGTCAGCCTATTCCTCTCTTCTAACGCCTTTTGGCCTGTCTGACCGATTTAAGCCATTTTTGACAGGTCAGCTGCAGGGTCAAATGCAATTAAGTTTCTGCAGGCTTTGCAAAGATCAGGAGTGAAGAAGAGGAAAGAAACCTTAGCTAAATGAAAGACTGGTTTGAGCTCAAGCCTTACTGAACACCTGAAATGTCACAGCAGGGACAGTTTTTAAGACTGCTCTGATGGTGAGACAAAATTCACTGGGAGTCACAGCACCAGGGTACACAATCAGATAGAAATCACGTCTCATCTGAACTTCTTGTCACCCTCATTGGCAGCTAGCAGCATGATTTTGCCTTTGCATTCCTGACCCAAATAAATTTATTTCCTATTTCTCAGGACTGGTGACACTTCCATCCATTCCTTTCTCAGACTGGCAAGCTGTAATTAGATTGAAATTGTGGGAGTCTGGAAGAGGTGTTTGTGAGAAGTTTACTGACAGCTGATTTTGAGAGGTCAGGTTAAATGACTTAATAGTTCTCAAGCTTTAGGTCCTGTACGTGTATGGGAAGGTGTGCTGGTTTCTGGAGCACAGAGCAGCTCTTGTTTGGAGCCCAAATGCATAGTCCTCTTTCCTGCATGCAGACCAGTCTGTCTTGAAACATCATGACCATTTTGGGGCTTTGAAGTCTACTTCATAGACAAAATAATGCCAAGCAACAAGAAATGCTCCAGCAACTGATCTTTCTGTGTCGAACTCCTAGCCTAAAGATCAAGATTTTCTAAAGATCAAGATCTTCTAGGTGACTAATTAAATAAAAAGTGAATCTGTCTAAAGACATAAATGCCTAAAAATTATGATAAGAAAGCCTGTTATCAGCCACTATATTTGAATCACTTATAGTACAGTCTAGAAGAGTCAAACCCCATCTGTCTCTTGATCCCATAAAATTATCATCAGGGAATGATTAAGTTCTTCTTTGCATAAATTGCATACTTTAGATCAATTCAGACATTAAAAATGTAACTGCAGAAAATATAAACAACAGGGCCAGGAGAACTGATCAGCTTCAGATGACTGGGCCAGGAGGACTGTGAGGAGCTCCTTTCAGAAGGCACTCCAACTTACTAACAGCACCACATAGCCAGGCTTTTACTCCACTAAACATCTCCTTCTCATTCCTCTCCATTGACTTTCCTCACCATGAAAGCAAGAGTGAGCAAGTTTTGCACCAGGATCCTAAAATAACACCTAGTTGAAAGGAACAAGGGAAAAAAGACCAAAACTTTTTCTATGAAATACTCCAATGGTTACTAAAAACAGTTTTATGTAGTCAGCCATGCTTGTACAGGTTTTACAAAATGATTGATGAATCTATCTAGTTTCTCTGCAGGAGAGTGAGACTTGGGCTGAATAAACACAACTCATTACAGCAACTCCAGTAATATGAAGCATCATCTTAAACTTACTGCAGTTAACACTGTGCAAGAATGTGTCTGGAGGATGTGAAAATGGTTGTACAGGGCATAGGATCCAGGCTTAATTGCCTGGATGGTCTCTTCCAATATTTACATCGCTAAAAAACTAAGTTACTGTGTGACTAAATGATTGTAACTGAAGAAATAATGCAGATATGAATCAGAACCTCAAAGAATTTGCTAATTATGAAGTAAATCCTGAAATGCACATGAATTCTATATCCATTCCTTATGTATATTAAACACCCACTGACTTTACTTACAGTTTTGTTTGAAAAGGGGATTCTGCATATTCTGTATTTAGAAACCATTTAAGTGCCTACTGCAATAAAGTTGCAACTCATTGTTAGTTGCTTCATGCTGAACATAAGCCTGCTACAGCTGCCAGCTGTAACACTAAGCTGTGAATATGCAGTGTTATCCATGTTTTTTGGTAGTCCTAAAGACGAGCATGTATACTTAAGTCTTTTAGAACGGAAATGTTAGTCTGTTATTGCAATTTGGAGGATCATACTCAGCCATAGTAATTTTTTTATTTTCCCTGATGAGCTTGATATTTTATCTTCCAAGCCAGAAGAACAGCTCACGAGTGCCTTGACACTGCACGGAGCCCTGGCTCTGTCCTCTGCCAGAGGACCTGAACCATCCAGCAACTCCCTTGTTGGCCCTACATGTTCTCCAGGGCCCCAGCTCTCCTACCTTGTGAGTGCTGAGATGGTGATTGCTCGACAGTGTTTTACAGAAGCGATATTACTGATATTCTGAACATACATAGATGAGAGAGTTTTTTGTTCCAGCTCTCTTCCCTTCACCTGCCTCTTTCATCCACATGAAATTGTCTACAATAATGTAATATGTATTTAAGTACTGGTCTGAACACAGTGCCTCAGCTCCAAGAACTGTATCTGTGATTTTCCATTGTTCAGTGTCACCTCCTCATGTTTACTCCTTTTCTTTGCATAAGCCATGTGATGTTGCACTGAAGTTATTGTCCTGCGTTGCAAAGCTGCAGAGACATCTATCTTGGGAACATGCCTTCACAGTTTACACAATGAAAAGAAAGAGATTTTGGTTTCTCAAATCTCCTGATTCATGTCCCAGCCTAATAAGGTTCTTGTTTGCCTAGCATTGCTCTGGTTTATGTGATGCTGAAATTGCAATGAAATGAGGAGCACAATGACGGCTAGTGAAACAGCTTAAATTCAAGAAAAAATGGCATAAACTTTTTCTTTTACTCTTCATTTGTTTTCAAAGTATAAAATTAAAGACCTATGAACAGCATCATCTGATGTGTGGACAGAAATGAAATTCAAGATGCATATGCCTGACATTTGAGGTATGTAAATCTGGCTCCTGGCTGTCAGGTGTTCATGGTGTGAAAGGGAATAAGTGCTCAGAATAATAAACATGGACTAAACCAGCAATTTAGAAATGCCTTTTTCTACAAAGGGGGGGGGGGGGGGGGGCAAGCTGAGGAGGTAGAAGAGACAGGTTCCCCGGGGGGAGTGTGAAGGAGAGAGAACCGGCAAAATTCCCACCGGAGCCTCTTTGTTTCTGTTGCCAGTAATTATCACCCACCTGCAAAAGGTAAAAAACCACAGCACCTTTTTCCCTAATCCAAAAGCCTTCATGTAAGGACAATCAAGCTCTACCACCTTGGAAACGAACCAATATGAAGGGCTTATCCAGGAGATGTGATACAATGGCCAGGATCACTCTTATTTCTGTTTTCATCCTCTGGGCAGCCACAAGGCAGGGAAGGGGAGATGAAATTACAGGTGAGTGGTGAAAAGCTGGTCAGAGGACCATGGTGGTTATGCAGGACAGCTTAGTTTGGAGGTGGGGTACCTCTTTATTTGAAATAAACCAGCCAAGGTGGCCACACACCAGAGAACAGGCAATGTCTCAGTGACCGTTTAAGAAACCTCTGTTGATAATTAAACTAAGAAAATCTAACAAAGCCAAAATACAACCTTTGTCCCCAACTCTTCATCCCCATGCAAAAGTCTTATCAGCTCCTTTGTGCCAGAAATGAATGAGTAGAGTTGCTGCTTTGTGTTCAGTAATGTGCAAATTTTTATGAAAATTGTCTTTATAATAGACTTTTGGAGAAAATTATGTAGTAGCATACCTGGCAAATTCGTAGGGATGCATAAAACGAAGCTGCAGAAGATATGTTTAACTTTCATCTGTGGTATGGGCTGTAATTTGGAAAAACCTAATCCAATTGCTAATTTTTAACTGCTAAATTAAATCCTAATTTGCTCTTAATTTCTGGTTTGATTTATTTAGATGAGGAAAGATCATGATTTTTGGCTGCTTTTTGTTGCATTTTTTACTTAAGTGGTTTTGCAAGTCTCAGTTAAAATACAAACCATATTTCTTAAAGCCTTGCAGACTTTTCTGCTCTTCTGTGAGTCACGTTTGAAAAAAAGAGGTTTCTACAGTTTGGAGGTCAGCAGAACCCCTATTCTAGTGCCATTTAAAGTCAATGCTGTTGACTTAAAAAATAATTTGTAATACCCAGAAAAACAAAGCTCTTAATCCATCTTTCTTCATGTTTTGGAGCCTTTGCTTTTTAAAGTTGAGTTTGACTCTGCCCTCTGCGAACCTGTTCCAATGATTGTTTTTTAAGGCTATGTCAAGACAGGAAAGGGGCTTGACTTTGGCTCTTGCTGTTCTCCAGCGAGAAAAGATTTTGCAGATCCCACTCACTGTGGCTTCTCCAGCACTTGAGCAGTGAAGGTTCCAGAACTGCAGCTGAGTCTGTGGCATAAACCCTATTATGCATTTTTTATTGTTTATTTTTTTATCATGGTCTCACTTCTGACCTAGGTTTGACCTTGAGTTATAGGCAGCCTGCTCCTACACAGACTTTCAGCCTTTCCTCTCAGAATTTGTTTCTACTAGTAAAGTGTTTGCTCTAATTGTTTCTGCTCTTGCTTACTATAATACAATTTACACTTTTCCTGACCGTGTTGAAAGCTAGTGGTTGCTTAGATAAAAACCTAAAGTCCAGAGATGATAGCTGTAATGTAGCCCTACTAATGTCAGGTGACTGCTTTCTTCTGCTTTGCGGTTGACTTCAGCTTTGTGTTGCTGGAAACAACAGCCAGTGCATTTTAATTCCATTTTGATAGTGCCATAATCCCATAGATGGAAGTAATAAGAACAGAAAGTCAATTTGCTAAAGAGCCCGAATTGAT